ATTAATTTTTTAAGAGTGAAATTTTTATTTTTTTTTTGGGGGGGATGGGGCAAAAGCTATTAAATCGATATTATTTTGATTATGTCAAATTTCTCTCTCTCTCTCTCTCTCTCACTCACTTTTCACGGACGGGAAAATATTTTTATTCGATAAGAAAAATAAATAGTATATAGTGCTTCGAGGTATCTAAAACTCTCGCATTAATTTATCCGTTAGACATAAATTTCGTGTTTCAGCTACACGCACGCACATACGCACACGCACACGCACACAGGCACGCTCACAGACCTAGTTTCGATACTGGATGATTGTTGTTGTTGTTGTTATTATTATTATCTACCTACGGCAAGGAAATCAATGTTTCGTTTCCACGATTAAAAATTGTTTTTTTTTTTTTTTAACTGTAATATTATTATTATTATTATTATTATTATTATTTTTTAGGTTGCGAACCGATCGACCTAACAAAATCGAACCGTTTCTGTCGGGTTTATAAACTTTACGCGATTTTATTTCCTTGGGGGGGTCCCCTTTCATCATACTACCTCGACATAATTTTCTATCGCAATAAAAATTTTCCAACCATTTTTTAAAAATTATTTTATTATTATTATTAATTTATTCACGTGTGTTATTGTAATTTCGACTAACCTAAATTACGAGGTACTTTTTTCTTTTTTTGCAAAGATAGAAAAGAGAAAAAAGGAATCCAAAAATTTTAAAATTCCCACGTTCATCTGCATATACGCCATCTTACTCGAGAGATTTCAATTTTTTTTTTTTTTTTTATTTGGAAGAGGAGGAGGAGGAGGAGGAGGAGGAACCTACGTTTCGAATTAAATTCATTCATTTTCTCGATATGGTTTTGTCAGAAACCATCTTTCAACTCTTCGTGTCTTGTCACTCACTCGCTCGCTCGTCGTTCAGGCCCCCCTCCTCCGAAAGAGGGCCCCCTCGGTAACAACCTAAACCGACGTCGTGGTGACACATAACACACACACACGGGTACC